CTATGGCAGCGTTCAGACTTCGCGACGGCAGCGCTTCGGTCGCGCGTTCGACGCGATCGATGCAGTCGAAAGCATGCGCATCGATCGTCGAATCGCGCGACCGAAGCGCTGCCGTCGCGAAGTCTGAACGCTGCCTATAGCTCTAGAGCTCTAACCTAATTGTGGCGCGTCGAACGCGTCATCGCTGAGTCTAAACGCTGCCTATACCTCAATGCTGTTAGTCAGTGAATGGCAAAGCGCGTGTGAGGTCAGGAGTGAAGCTCGGTGGTAACGCCGCTGGGCATGATTGAACGGCATGCTCGTTGTGATGCGACGCGTGCGCACTCAACAGCACGTCGCATGCGTACTGCTGATGAGTTTTGCCCTAGAGCTAGGAGTCTAAATGACAAGAATGACTTCTACATTACAGACCATCGTGCCGTTCATCTAAACTGGTTCATTTGTGCTTGTGTAGTTTCAGCTATGTGTTGAACAACTTCTTTAAACAACTTCATCGCAACCAGTTACAATGCCAATTCGGCAAACTATGTGAGTGACGGGTGCAAGGGGAAATTTTCTAAGAACGGTGCAAAAAATTGAGTGGAATAAAGGGGCGAAATCGCTAACAACTGGTTCGACTTAGACTACATACAAGGAAAAAGAGGGTAAAAGCCGAACAGGTTGACCGTGATCGGTTGGTTTTCGTTCCACAAAAAAGGGTTGAAGGGGTATTTCATAACGATTCATGTAGATGATCTTGGTGAGGGAAGACTCTGTCTGTAGGTTCCGTTCAGCATCGCCAGATGAATGAGTTGTTCACGTTTCAATGAGTCGAATTCCGGAGTGAACATATCGGCAATACGCTTTTTCGCCTTCTCGATCAATGTTCGGCATCTAAAGAAAGAGTGGTAAGGCAGTATCACGCAAGAGAGTATCAAGAGGCGGCACCATGTGCCGAAGGAGGAGCCACTATCCAGCAAGGCTTCGCTATCTCCTATTCTGAAGCGGCGAGGCAACGCACGCTGTCTCGCTGAGAGGGCCCAGACGAACAGACATGACGTAGCTGAGCCCTGCTGCGGTGTGGCACCCCGAAGCAAGTAGCCCCTGAAGGGCGTGGACGTACTCAGCGCGCGACGTGCCCTTGGCTTCGACGAGCACATGAGTGTCTTCCCTGAGATGACCGAATCCTGGCTTATGACGCATCTTGCGGAACAGCTTACTATCCTGAAAAGGACCCTGTGAATAAGGAGGTGCAGACGACGCTTTCATAGGTGTAGCCTTGCCTTTATGCTCCCTCTGCCACGTACGGCGAATATGGCATCGGGTCTCCAGTTGCAGCTCTCTGATGGTTATCCCATTGGGTCCAATAAGACGTCCGATGTAGCTGCACTTCACTCCACTGAAATACTTTCATAGCTTGCTAGCGCTTCAAACAGGCACCGCTCCACACAGCAAGCCATCTCATCAATGAATGCATGTGAAGAAGCTGATATCGATTGCACAAGCGTGGAATCGATATCCCTTCTGGATCACACGCACGTCAGTGAGAGCGGTGTGGCAGAGCGCAAAGGACAGGCGAAAACAGTACGGTGGCGGTGACGGAATGTACACTTTCACAGACATGGTGATGTCATTGCCCTCCATTTTTTCCTGAAAACACACCGAAATCACCGATGGGGGAGCGTCGACACTAAAAAAAACTAGCTTGGACTGCAAACTGGTAAGGCAGCGTTCAGACTTTGCGATACAGCCCGTCGACCCGCTGTAGCGCGCCACAATTGCAACAGCGCTCTAATGCTATAGACGCGAACGCAGGAGCAGATGGAATTGGCGCAGTCTGTGTACTGAGAGAATATGGGTGTACTGGAGGGTACTCGTTGCCCAATCAAGCAGTCTGGTATCGTTCGGCACTGGCCGCTAGGGCGGCGCCAATCGATTCTCGTCTGCTGATGCGTTCGCATCTATTGGAGTGGAGTGCTGTTGCAACTGTAGCACGTTACAGTGCCTTACAGCGCGTCGACGCGCGTTATCGCGAAGTGTGAACGCTGAAGTGTGAACGCTGCCTAAGCGACATTTGCTAGCTCTTTGACCCCCCCCCCTCCATTGTATAGTTTGCGCCAAAGAACTTGGATCCTGGTCGCTAATTGCCACCCGCATGACGCCACTGGCCTCTCCCCGCCCGACTTGCGAGAAATTGTTGGCCCGACATCAGTCTCAGTGGTACGCTATTCGCGAACTTCCCTTTCATTAGCGCCTGCTGCGCCTCAAGTTTTCCTGCGCCCGCTGCACCTGCAATCAGCCTCTCTCTGTGCCTTGTGTTTTTTCCGTCTTCCTTTCTGACCGTCAACTAGACGGGGAATACTCTACGTTAAGCGAGGATGCCGGCACTCGAACAACCCGCCCTAGACACTGTGTAAGGCTGTCCCCACCTAACCATGACGCGACCGCTCTGCGTAAGCACGGACTCTTCAAGTCATTGCGCGGCTTTGAAAATGTGAATACCATGTGATTTCGAGCTGCGTTAAAGGCCAAAAGAGCCGGCCAGTATTGAGCGGCACCAAATCCGTCTCGAACCTCACGCGTGATTTCTCGAAAGTTTCCGCGTCACTGATAGGTGGTTCTTGGCTAGACATTTGTGTCGTATGTCGCGTAGGACGAAGCTTTGAAGAGTAACTTGATTCTGGTCTTCTGCTCTAGACGAAACACGACTTAGTTCAGTTTCTCGTCCGATTACGCAGTTCTTCGCATTAATTGTGTTAGATATGAAAGCTGGCTGTTACGTAACACAATGCATTTCGCACACATGTCTTTGCGGCAAGGCTTAGTTGAGAGTGGTAATCGGGTGCGACATAGAGTGACGGTAGGTTCGGATAGGGTGGTGGTGGTGGTGGTGGTGATAGTACAGTTCGGGATGATGTCTCCACTTGCACATTTTGATGTAGAGTATTACGTCGTTGGAGAACTTCACGAATTTGATAAAGCAGACGGAGATGTTGGGAATTCTCCACCGGGATAGCTGACTCGTCAAATTCTTCGTGTTGATGAAGCGAATTTCGTTGCATGGCTGGACCGAGTAGTTGGACCACCACACTCTGAAAGAGCTCTGACTCACTTTGACCTGAACGAACCAATCGACTGGACAGAATGACAGCTTGCTCACTCACCGCTGCAAGACGTTCCAGAATAGGGTTACGATCAAACATGCTGCTGATGAACTGCAGTTGAGCTCTGAAATGTGGTCTGATCAGTGCTGAGACTGGGTTGTCAAGTGCCGAAAGCAACAAACCCATCACCAGCCGTCTTGGCCAGCTGGGCAGCCGGTGGTTCGGTGAGCTCCATGACGAGGAATTCGAGAACGAGTTGGTCAGCGAGCGCCGCAGCGCTCTCTGTAGCCCTGCCGATACCCTGCCGAGTTAGCTCCACACGCTCCGTCGCTTGACGTCCAGCAGCCAGACGAGGCTCCATCGCGAAGAATTAGTGACTAGTATGATGACAGTAATACCACCTACACCTCTCTCAGCCCTTTTATGCTCACTCTTATCAGAAATGCTAACAACGCTCAACTGTTTTCATTTCCCATATCAAAGCAAAGTTAATTCCTAACAAATCTAACGTTGAACTCATTCGCGATCTCTTGGTAAAGAAGACTGGTTGGAAGTTGTTGCAAATTAATAGTTCTCCCTCCGTGGAATTATACTCAATGAGTACAAGTTATCACTACGAATAGAGGGTCAAACCATCGAGGGTCAAAGGTAGGGTAGGGTCCCAAGCATCGTGCAGCACTAGGCTGTACGTTCACGAAAATAGGCGGGATGCAGTACCACACTGCGTGTGGAACTGAGCGCATGGGAGCAGCGAACACACACACAACATCTCTGTTTTGTCCTAGACGCCCACAACCTACAGGTTCAAAGCGGAATCAGCCTCGCTTACCTTCCCTGCTCGCACTTCGAAGCCTCCTCTTTATGAGCGCTCTAGAGTCCGGGTCAATGATGAAACGTGCATCAGCCACGCAGAACGTCTGTGCGAAGGGCGTATAGCACGGTCTTGGGTAATCAAATAGGCTTACGGTATGCTCAGTTATGTGCATCCACAGAGCCAACACAATTAATTTCACGCGCAATCCTTTGGGTACTATGCTCCGCCTGTTTTCCTGAACTTATAATCTTGTGCCGGCGGCTATGCCAAGTGATGTCTGCTTGCACAGGAAGCTGACGTGTCTACCAACCTAAGGCTGCGAGAAGACAGGACGGGACAACAAAAGACCACTGAAGGCATTCGAGTTGAGGGGTACTGGTTGCGCCTCTACTTGGCATACCTCAACTAGCTTTGCCCTTGCTTAATGCTGTAGTGGATGAGGTGCTCGCCGTTGATCAAACCCATTTTTGTGATGTTACACGCGTCCTACCTCCATTTAGAATCATAGTGGTTTAATGAATGCTATGCGGTTTATACGATTTTTTGTGGGACCAGCCGATCGGCGCTTTACATACTCCCGG